AATATCAATTAATTATATTAAACCAAATAGATGCAAACAACAATAATCTCTCTTTTGTGAGCACGCTAACTTTCGATTATTTCCATCTTCTTACAAATTTCCACGATCTATTTTCTCTCAGCTTCTCGGTTTCTCTGTTCGCTCTCTTCATATTCAAATACCGTCACGGCTATCACCACTAACCGCCAGGAAGCTCAAGCCATGCACACCAGTGGCTTTGCTTTGCCGACTTGAACCTACACTTACGCTTCAATCATTCTACATCTAACAAAATCTGGGTAACCCTAAATTGAAAAAGCAAAGATTAAATTGTGAACTCAACGCTATCGGCTACGAATCCATGGGTTTAACAATCTATTCACCATATTCTACACATAGGTAAAATACATAAACAAAGAAGAAGGTGAAGGAGTTAAAATTACCTACCGGAGTAACTCCGGAGCAAAATCCAGAGATCCTTACTCAAGTAGGGGTGTGCATGGTTACCAAATTTTAAGAACCAATCCATTTTAATGGTTCTAGTTTTAAAATCAAACCATTTTTTATAATAACCAATTGAAAATTGCAAAATGGTTTCAATTCGGTTCAAAATCGATTTAAACCAGTTTTCAATCAAAATTGATTTATAAGGAAATTGTATCTTTCTTAATTTGAAGAGACGAAAAAAATCCAGGTTAATGAAGGGAACAAGATGCAAAGACATGTGTCATTTTTATACAATTATATTCAAACACCAGCACAAATCGTTTATCACAATTTTTTTAAAAAGCAAAAAAGTAAAATTCAATTTAAGAGTAAAAACATTACACTTTAATCCATGATAAAGTTGCACCAGAACACTAAAACTAGAATCCAAAAAAACTAAAACAAAACATCCCAAAACCAAGACAAAATCTGCTTCAAAACAATTGCTACACCATAACAGTTAAACAAAAAAACACAGATTAACAATCGTTCATCACAATTAACTTAATAAGTTCTTCTTCCCTTAACTAATCACCACTCTAATTAACTAATTAATAATAAATAAAATAAAATATATAAACTGGTTTTCCATTTTCCATTTGAATATTATATAAACAGATTTACACGAATTTGAATTTCCTGCGCCTTAATAATACCTTATTCATTAATAATAATATCATATATATTTGGTTTTATGTATGACAACTGGTTATGAAAAATGGAAACCAAATTTTTGTTTTGATATCAAAATGGATCTGGAGCGATTCACATCCAACACAAATTGGATTATAAAAATTGGTGCACTGAATTTTTAAAATTGGTTCGTGTAAACCAGTTTTTTTGCACACCCCTATACTCAGGTATGTGCGTGCTACTGAATTCTTTGCTCTTCTTCTTTGCTTCTTTCTTTATTTCTTCTATTCTACAAGCTTCCGTGCTTTTGTTGTTACGTGTGTTGGTCTAAGGTTTTCACTATGCTGTGGCTTATGCGTTTTAGTGATTCGTGTTATGATATGAGTATGAGGTTGGGTGAGGATAGGTTATGGTTGAGGTGAATTTTGAGTTGTTGAAGTGTCTGATTTTGTTGTTGAGAGTTTTGGAGAGTATAGTTAGGTGAGGTTTAGTTGAACAAAGTGGGGGTTGAGTGTGGAGATAAGTTGATGATGCGGTTTGGTTTAGTTTTATGGGAGGCTAAAGATAGGTTTAGTGAAACATGAAGGTTGCAGTTACAGTGGAGGATTAGGGTTTTGGTTATGCAGGGAGTCGAGATATTGGTGAGAATGGAAAAGAGGTTGTAGTAGAGATTGCAGGGGAATTAAGGTTGAAGGTGTGCACAGAGTTTTTGAGTGTTTCACTGATTTTTTTCAAGTGTTTTTAAGCAGAGTAATGGGAGATTTTCAATGTGATTTATCTGCTTTTTCTTTGTGATTTCTTGTGTTTTCCCTATTGTTTTTCTTCACATTCTTTTCCTCTTGCTGACAAGTTTATTTATAGTGAAAGATTGAGAGTTTGTAGGGAAAAATGAATTGTAATTTTGAATGGAATTTTACTGATTTTGTGGCTTTTGGGTTGCATGAATTGGTTTGGATAATTTTGTGGAAGTTTTGGCATTGGTTTGACAGGTTTTTGGCATGTTGTAGCAGGTTTTTTTACTAGTTTGTAAACAAGTGGGTGCAGGGCAGAATTTTTGAACTGTATTGGTTTATGGACAACAACATGGCTTAGCACACAATAGGTTTGGATAGGGACAAGGCATTGGTTTTTCAGATCTTGGACTATTTGGGCAGCATCATATTGGACTTGAGTTTTTGAAGATTGAAGATTTAGCAAATGGCTTGAAACTTGAAGATTAAGGTTAGGAATCAAATTTGTAATATTGTATCCAATGAATATGAATGTATCTTGACCATTTTAATGGAACTTAATCTTTTGAATGATATCTTATTTTGATGTAATCTTGAACACGAATGCACTTTGAATCACTCTTGAACGGATCTTGGCAATTTGAACGAACTTAATTTTTTTTGTAATGAATGATGAATAATATGATCTTGCCTTTTTCCATGATCTTGAATTTAGAATGGAGTATTTGAATGATGCTTGACTCTTTGTTTCATCTTTTGAATTCTTGAATGAACATTCCTAATTCTCACTCTTGAATGCTTTGCTTACTTTTCATGATGACAACCATAAGCAAAAGAATCAAAGTGAACCTTGGTCGAAAAGTCAAGATACTTTTCTAATGCTTTTTTTCACAAACGCCATTGCTTCTTGTATGAATAAAAGTGGATGAATCTTGTATGATGAATGACAAATTCTTGATCTCTTATAATTTGAATACTTGAATGAAATCTTGAATAAAACCTTGAATTATTTTGATGAGTGTAACTTATTCCTTGAATAAAAAATGAACCATGAATGAATTAATTGCATTTTAAGAAACCTTGGTTCACTTGATAATTCTTAAATCGACACTAATTTTCAATAAACGAAATCCACATCAATTCTTAAAATAGCTCTTTGTCAAACCAATGTTGATGTCTTAGGGGACTTCTAACCCAAAATATTCATAACACATTTGGATGAATACCTCAATCTCATGTCCACATCAACACTTCTTGACTTCAATGATCAACAAAATATCAATGTCTTGAATCTTTTTTTTTGCAGTATGAAATCCAATGAACCTTAGCTCACAAGATCCTCCTTTGAAGTGAAACCCTAATCGATGCTCCTTGAGGCAGAAAACCCTGCAATGATGTTGATGATAAGTCCATAGTGACCACAAGATAAAAAAAAACCCTAATCCTTGCTTGAAATAGAGAATAACCTTGTAGCTTAATGAAGAAGAGATCCTTCATAACCTTGAATAAAAAACTTAATTCCATAATCCAATGCTTAAAGAGAACCAGAGGAATCAATCTTTCTTATTGATGTAGAAACCTCAAATCCAGATAAATAGATAGATAGATAGATAGATAGATAGATAGATAGATAGATAGATACATAGACAGATAGACAAATATGTAGATAGATAGATAGATAGATAGATAGATAGATAGATAGATAAATAGATGGATAGATAGATAGATAGATAGATAGATAGATAGATAGATAGATAGATAGATAGATAGATAGATAGATAGATAGATAGATAGATAGATAGATAGATAGATAGATAGATAGATAGATAGATAGATAGATAGATAGATAGATAGATAGATAGATAGATAAATAAATAGATAGATAGACAAATATATAGATAGATAGACATATAGATAGATAGATAGATAGATAGATAGATAGATAGATAGATAGATAGATAGATAGATAGATAGATAGATAGACAAACATATAGATAGATAGATAGATAGATAGAAAGTATCTGAAATTGTGCAATACAATGGAATCATGAAAAGTACAATCTTTATAAAATAATAATAGAAATTGTACAATAAATGCATTAATTGTTGGAATGTGATTTGTCAGATTTGTGGTCTCTATGTAAATTTGGCTGATCATTTTTATTACAAAGGAATACGATTCAACAATGCAATGGAAGGCTAAAGGCTGATTATTAATTATGTAGATTTTATGGCCGAATTTGAGTCCTGATTGATCAATTTTCAATATCTGGGTCCAACCGAATAAATCCATAATAATTCGAATTTAGTTATTTTCGAAACAAGTACGCATATAAATTAAATCGAATAGTCCAAATTTCAGTCGGATAATGCAGATTGCAGACGAGTCAATACCTTTTGTCCACCCCCATAAGACACCAATACACCCATCACGTTAGCTCGAAAATATTACTTCCTCTGTCTCATAAAAAATGTTTCATTCGCAATTTTCTTTGTTTCAAAATAGACGTCTCTTTAAAATATCAATACAAAATTTATTATTTTTTCATTATTATATTCTTATTTATTAATTTTTACTTTATTCAACTATTCCACTAACTATAATTAATAAAAACATTTTAGTAAATAATATTAATTTTATCATTAAAATCAAAATATTTAATATTCCTTTTGTTTCATAATAAACGTCTTTTTTGAATTCTGCGCAGTTCTTAAAAAAGATTAGATATGTTGATTTTAATGATTAAATTAATATAATTTATTAAAATATTTTTATTTATTATAGTTAGTAGAGTAATTGAAAAATGTAAAAATTAATAAATAAGAGTATAATATTAAAATTTTATTTATATTCATATTTTAAAAACACATTTATTTTAAAATATAGAAAAAATACAGATGAAATATTTTTAGGAGATACATGGAATATTTTTTAAGAACCCGACATAACTCAATTAAAACTCTTATGACGAGAAGGAGTAGTAAAATTGTGGGTCATTTTCTTTAAAAACAGATGGGCCAGGCACTAAAATTTTAAAAAGACATCAAGTCAAAACGACGTCGTTTGACATTCACCTTCGATTCACTATCATCATAAACATAATACTCTCTCGTTATCCCTATTTCAAACCCCGAACGAAGAATGCAATATACCAGTAGCACATATAAACCATGAAGCCGCGAAAACTATATTCTCTGGCACTCTCACGTGCTCTATCACGTGCCCTAACCTCTTCAACCACACCGTCTCAATGCGCGTTTCCCTTGAAGACGGTTACCGTCGCAAACTTTGAGCCGTCGTTAGAGGAGCTCCGGCACCATGTCCGATCGTCAGACTTCGTCGCCATCGACCTTGAGATGACCGGCGTAACTAGCTCTCCTTGGCGTGAGTCCTTCGAGTTTGACCGCTCCGACGTCAGGTATCTCAAGATCAGAGACTCCGCCAGCAGGTTCGCCGTCGTTCAGTTCGGCGTTTGTCCGTTCCGATGGGATTCATCCAACCAGTCATTCGTAGCTTATCCGTAATATCTCTCTCCCTCTCTCTCTCTTCTCTCTCTAGATTATTGGAATGTTGTGTTCTGAAGCTATCATTCTAAATATAAGTGTATGATTGAAGCAATTTTGATGCTGGATCGTGTTCTGAAACTGTTCCAAAAATAGTGCAAATGTTTGGTGAAGAAATAGGAGTGATGAATCATGATTTGCAAATATTGCAATTTTATGCCAGTTTGATTATGCCACATGGTTTTGTATTTGTTTATCTTGATAGGTTTTTATGATTTTGTTTTTAGAATTTTATTAGTGTTTTGAATGGAAGAGAAATGTAGCACCGACACCTTTGAAAAAAGACGTCTTCATGTCTGGGTCGGACACGCACCGACACTTATGATTACGTTTAATTTATTCATTTTTCCAAATTATTACCGGTGTCGAGTTGTATTTGAGGTGTCCGTGCTTCATAGGTGAAGAGAAATGCTAGCAACAGACTCTCTAACTATTTTTTACAAAACTTTTTTAATTATTGGGTGAAATTCATGGTTGCTCCACCACTTTGAGAATGAATCCCTGATAAAGATACGGGATATGGACTCTCACTAAATAAGAGAGAGAGAGAGATGACATTGGAAAGAGTCTTTCTTTTATTTTTGTTAGTGTTATCATCTGCTTTAGTAATTTGTAGGAAGTAACATCATAATAGTACAATTTATCAGCACTATATTTGTAAATACTGTAGCTACTGGAAATTGTTTCATCTTATTTTTCTTTTCCTTTCTTTCTTTTATTCGTGCAATGAATTATCTGTTGTTGTTCTTATATAGAAACTTGCTCTTTCTCAGGTACAATTTCTATGTTTTCCCACGTCAGGAGCTTGCTGGTTTCGGCCCATGTAATGAATTTCTTTGTCAGACTACTTCGATAAATTTCTTGGCTAAATACCAGTTTGATTTCAATGCGTTCATACATGAAGGTTGCTTACTTTTCCTTCTATTTCGTGCTATTGTCTTTGATATTTAACTGATTATTAACTGTCTACCAAATTGAAGAAAAGAGTTTGCGTGCCACTCTCTGCATTAAAAGGCCCTGGTCGCCATTGTAACCCGCAGATTCTACACTTTTGGGTCTATTACTTGGATGCTTGAGTGGTGGTTCATTAGAAAATAAGTGATATTCAAAGAACAATATATATATGACTGTCACGGTTATAGGAAAACCTGAAAGGCTCCATTATCCACATACACGACTCTTAGAGACATAAGAAATTAGAATAGAAATTTGGTTACACTCATAATTCCATTATAATTTTATAACTTTGATGATTTCCGTAGTTTGAGATTTTGCACCCTTGGATAATGTCAGGAATATCTTATTTGTCCAGAGAACAAGAAAAGGAAGCAATAAGGAGTTTGAATTCAATGCATGATAGTGAGTGTTCAAACATTTCTAAATTAAATGATGTTAGGGACCTACCATCTATCAACATGGCAGACATTTTGTTCACTGAGCGAATGAAAAATAAGTTTAGTGAGTGGCGTGATGGATTATTACAGGAGCAAAGTCAACCAAACCAAATTCAAGGAACTAGAAAAGACTCGAAACAACGATTTGACGTGATTTTCTTTAAGAAGCATCCAGCTCTCAAGCTTGATGGATTCACCTCACGCCAGCTTAAGTTAGTTCAGTTGGTAATGTTGTTATAACTTGTCTCTATCTATTGTTGATATGTTCACATTTTGTCTCTCCTCTCATATTTATATTGTGATTTCAACGTCTATTCATTTCCATTGGTTAAAGATAGTGTAGTATTGCACATGTACTAGTTTTACAATGGCTAAATTTTGCTGATTATAATCTGAAATTTCAGGTCATCAAAAAACACTTCAAAGATCTTTCTTATATCAAAGTGAACAATGCAGGTTCTAGTTCCCAACAAATAGTTGTATATACAGACTCGGAGGAGGAACTAAACTTACTTTTGGTAATTAAATCTCAAATTCTCAATATTATTTTTCTCTTTTTAATTTGTGATGTGTAGGCGTAGCTCTACATTGTCAGCTGGTTTTTAGAATCTAATTGCTTTTTCTGCACTTTTGCAAATCTAAATTATATTGGCCTTTATTGTTAATTTAAAATTAAGTGGTTAACTAGGTTTTATTGATGCTACACCACCGTATTAAATTCTTGAAAAATGTTCTTTAATCTCTTGTAGAAGGAGGTAAACGAGGAAAATCACAGGGCCAAAAAGATGAAGATCCAAGCTGCAGTTGGATTTCGCCATGTTATTGATCTCCTTTCGTCAGAACAGAAGTTGATAGTTGGTCATAACTGTTTCCTAGGTATCATGAAATTCTTAATCCTTAACACATGTTATACAATTTTGTCAGACAGTGAGATGATAATATATAACTCCATGATACAGATATTGCTCATGTGTACAACAAATTTATCGGTCATCTTCCTGGGACTCCTGAAGAGTTTGTTGCCTCTGTTAACAAGTGCTTTCCACATATTGTTGACACCAAATTACTCATGAACACTGATAATATGCTCCAAGTCAGAATGAAAAAGTCCAGAAATTCGCTGGGCTCTGCATTTTCTATGTTTTGTCCACAAATTGCTGCAGGCTCCAAAAGCACTGAGCTAGTTTCACCATCCCATGTAAAAATAGATGTTGAAGTTGATGATTCAAGGTTTGTCTCTTTTTATCTATGTATACTAGTTATGGAAGATTTTTTTTTCATGTCTCTGTGGTTTCAAGATGATTTTTTATTTTATATCGAAAGGGCATGCCAATTTGGTGATTTTAGAGTTTGTGACCATTGTTTTTAAAATCAAGAGTCTACACAAGATTGAAGGGGGTTGAAAGACCGTAAGATCGCACTAATGGTGATACATTAATGATAGCAAAAATATACAAGTGCATAAAATCATCATAGTTGAATAAATAAATCTTCAAATTACAACATTAAACGAAGTTCATAATCATATTCATAAGCTCATTAACATAACCATAAATTCTGTAAGTTCATAAAGACAGGCACTGTTTTGAAACCATTAACAGGAAAAATAACAGAAACCAGGAACTTGCACATCGCAAGAAAAAGAGGAACTGGCACAGCCACAGCGACAATGGTTTCTCAGGGGAAACAGAGAAACACGCACAGTGGAATGACTGCATCTCAGTGGCAGTGTTTCCTCTTTCATTCTGTTATTCTTTCACTGTTTTTCTTTCTTAGCTTCTTTATATCTTACCTAAGTAATGTGAAAGCTTATATATAGTGTTATCAAATATCCGCAATGGCGGCACTATGGCACATATACATGGCAGTTTTTGGGCTCACCGCAATGGGAAATATTGGCCAATATTGCCAATTTTCTGCCATGATCCGCTATAATGGCGCCGCAAAGAGTCCAATTTGGTGGGATTTTGGCTCTCCGCCATTCGCCACGGACAACACTTATAGACGAATATTATTCACGTTCCCTTCTTTTCTTTTTTAAATGTGTACAATGGCGGATAACATTTTTATTCTTGTACAGAATTTTTGTCTTCATAATCTGCATATAACTTGAGGTGATTTCTTTAAAATTTTGACAAGTTTAAATAATTACTCGCCTGTTTATCTGCTTAAATTCAACTTTCCCTCTGTTTCCTTTGTTGTCTTAGCTGCCTCTTTAGTATATTTTTCATACCAATAAAAATGTGTATTTACAGATTGTCTAGCTGGAATCCTGGAGGCAAGCATGAGGCAGGATATGATGCTTTCATGACTGGATGCATCTTTGCCCAGTTATGCTGTGATTTAGGAGTTGATTTTAAACTCCATGAATCTTTAAAATTAGCTACCAATGAGAAACTACAGAAATACATTAATCATCTATATCTTAGTTGGATGCATGGGGATATTATTGATCTAAGTACTGGTGATAAGGTTGCAAATTCTTCACCAAGCTATAGCCCCAAAAGACGGTACCCGAATATTTTGTTTGAGAACATAGTTATTATATGGGGATTTCCTTCTAACGTGAAATCAAGCGATGTACGAGAGTGCATATCTAAAGTGTTTGGTTTAACTTCTGTAGTTTCTGTATACCAATTGGATGCAACTGCAGTTTTCGTTCAGTTTAGCAAGACTGAACAAGTTTCCGACTTTCTTTCGTTGAAGGAAAACTTAGAGAGAAGTAATGGTCCAATCTCGGTTTTGCATCCGCTGGCAAAACTTTTGGATGGTGGAAATACATGTGCTGCTAATTATGATACTTATAAAGAAATATGTGGTTCACCCTTGTCACAAGATTTATTTGCTGATCAGGCAAATGCAGTTACCATGACGCCGAAGAGTAAATTGATTGAATTTAAGGTAGCATTGAGGAGTGAAGAACATGAAAATCCAAGTCTACAAGATAATGTAAATGATGTTGCTGTGAATTTTGTAGAAAAAATCAAGCCAAACTCAATTGATCAGTTAAGAAATGTTCAATCTACTGGGCAAGCCTCCCCATTTGAGATTGAAGATTCCCGTGTTGCAGAAGCTAACTTGTGATTTTTGACTAATTATTGTGTACACCATCAGCATGGACATTTATTAGATTTGTTTGTAGTATAAAATGTTAACAATATTTTTGTAGAAACTTGTATTCTATGATTACAAAGAAGTAATGCTTTTGATTTGGTTAAAATTAGGTATAGTATCCTTTGTCGAAAGTTAAATTCAGTTGTAAAAGATATATCAATTTGTCATAGACAAAGAACCACTGATAAACAATAAAGAATTACAAGTAACATAGTCATTTATTGCTATTGCTCTAAGTTTTTAATAGGGTACTTCTCGAACTGTATTCTTACTTAAGAATTCATAGACTTGAAATGTAAAGATTATTGTTTTGCAGAATGGTTTTCTGAAGTCAATATAAACACTATCTGTTAAGCATTTTCCTGTTAAACTATATGTGATGAATTGACTGTCAACTAATATGCTAAGCATTTTATACTTGACGATTTTTTATGAAGTCTCAGTCAATTACTCTGTTAAGCATTTTCTACTAGTTATAAATCGTTTCCTCACATGGATGGAATGATTTTTCACCACAAAAAAAGATGGATGAAGTTGGGAACTTGATATGCTTTTTTCAATTTCTATTGTATGAAATAGAGATATCATACCTCGTAATACTTTTCCAATGAAATACACCGGTTTCTAAGAAATATCATTTACCAATATGACTTTGATGGCCTCTCTCCCAACACAAATAAATAAAAGATAAGGGTTCCATCTTCTTCGGGTGAGATTTTTTTTTTATAAGCAAAATTTATTAATAAGAGTACAAGGAATACTCATGTCCTATATAATACTCAATCAAAGTTTAGAAAATCAAGAGGAGAATGCAATTAATTATACATTATTGTGCATCTTTTTTCTCTATTACCAATAGCATATCATAACTAAGACACCGCTTTGATATTCAAAACAAGATTATCTAGCAGACATAAATCAAGTTTAGAAAATCAAGAGGAAAATGCAACTAATTATATATTAATGTGCATCTTTTTCCTCTATTACCAATAGCATGTCATAACTAAGACACCACTTTGATATTCAAAACAAAATCATCTAGAACACATAAATCACCTTTGAATAGAATGTTCAAACCATAGCCAGCCACACTAAGTTGCGTTTCTTCTTCTTAATCTTTCCCATGAGTGCTTGTGTGAAATGTTTATAGAAAATCAAGCCATCATAACCATCCATGTCTTCATTCCCAACCAAGAGTATATGCTCCCCATACTTTTTGGCTTATTTTGGATTTGAAAAGTAACTGAACTAAATCTTTTACGTCTTCAAAACATAACACACATACCTTGTTATGCTTATTTCGAATGATCTCTCTTTTTACCCGCTGATCTTTAGTTAGGAGTTTGTTTAACATCACCCTCCAATCAAAGAAATTTAATTTTAAAGGTATGTTAGTCTTCCATATTCTCTTCAGATGCGGATGCATTAAGGTGGATGGATAACATTCTATTGGAGAAGTGGACAAGAGAATTTGACGGAGGAGGCTGATGGGGCCACATGACAATAAATCTTGTAGAAACCAAGAGCGACGTCTTCAAAGAAATTAGAAATCTACCAATAACCACATTGTGAGAACAACTTATTTTAGGTTGACATCACTTTTTGCAAGTAGAGGCGAAAGATGGAGTGCAGTGTTAAGGTCGGGTCAATTATTCGGTAAAAGTTGTATAGAAGTGATGAAAACAGAAAATATCAAAGCTGTCACACATGCAGTTACAATCTTTGACCATCATAGATAAACTTTCAGTGTACAAGAAACAATAGACCACAATGAGGGGAGGCCAAATTTAGCCTATGCTGTCAAAATAAATAAAGATTAGAGTGATTGTGGAAAATTTCAGACCTTCCGTATGCCTTGCTCTCATGTCATTGCGACATGCACATATACTCTCCAGGACCTTTACAACCATCTATCCAATGATTACAATGTCATTACGTTTTGAATGTCTACAACGACAGCTTCCTGGTGGTAGGAACGGAGGAATATTGGCCTACATATCAAGAGGACATAATTTGACACAACGATGAGATGTGAAGGAAGAAAAAATGTCACTCCAACAACACGCATATTAGAACAGAGATGAATACGACTGATAAAATGATAAGACTGTGTAGTATATATCGTCAGTCCGGACACAATCGGAAGAATTGTCCCAATGTCAAAGTAACCTCTGCATCATAATTTATTTTTTCATTTCAATTTGTGTAACCTTGGTATTTGATATATATAATAACTTTTGGTTACAACAAAATTAACATAACAAACATCACAAACTTAAACTCGCGCTCACAACAGCACAAACAACAATTTAACTCAAACACACTTGAGAACAACAACACAAACAACAAAATATACATAACACGATAATCGTTCTACGATATGACAACAATCAAAATAATTTCATCTGATGAAGACATCATATCCCTAATATCATTTACATCTTTAACTCGCACTCACATACACTGCATGACATTACTGTCATTTGCAATTGAGATGTACGAAACAACTCTACCGATTCTTCTAATTCTTTCTCCATTATCAATCTCTCAGTCTAACCAACTTTTCAAACTCCTTTCAAGATGCTTGAAACTTTGAATGTTCCAAAAATGCATTTTCATCAAAGGTTTCATTGTCGAATAACATACATGTCTGCCTCTTTTAACAATCATGATAAAGTTAGTGAAGAAAAGAAAACAAGATTATAAAAATAGGCGTGGAGTTAAAATCATAGGAGACACCTTTATTTATACTAAAAAAACACAACACACACGGGTACCAGTCGAATTGGTGTCACCTTCTAAAATATACACACATACACCAATTAGGTTAGTAACACCTGGTGTATGTGCCAATCCAATTGGCGTCTGCTCTTTAACTTTAGGTGCAGACGCTAATTCGTCTAACATCACTACTTCATTACTATATTTTTTTTGAAAGTGAGGTATATTGAGAATTTTTTTGAAGTGTGACTTATTTTAAAAATATTTTTTAAAAAATAGGGTTATATCTCATACTCTCTCTGTCCTAAGTTATAAGACATTTTGGACATTTCACACGTATTAAGAAAAATAATCATAGTTGTACGGGAAAGGAAAATTATGTATGACTTTATACTATTGTTCTTCATTAATTATAGAGGAAAAAGAAATTAAGAGAATTGAAAAAAGAAAGAGAAATAAATAATAAAGGATATATCGAGAAAAAAAAATCATTAATGTTGCATTGAAATTGTAAAGTGATTTATAATTTGAGACAAACTTTTTCTCGAAAACATCTTACAATTTGAGAATTTGAGATGGAGGGAGTAGTTAATTATTAGGAAGTTTAATAATTTTATATTTACGATTTATTAATTTCTATAATAAATGATTGGTTAGGAGGTTTAGTAATTTTCTATTTATGATTTACTAATTTCCATAATAAATGATTGGATTGTTACTTATTCCTAATTTTTATGGGTAATATTTCATATATTATGAAATCAATAAATATTTTTTTTAAAGAAAAAATTCTTTAAACAGTTATATATTAACTTGAAGAAATAATTTTATTTAAATGTTAATGAGTGTTCTCAGAACATTCTTTAAATACTTAAAGTAATAAGATTTTTTAAGAATACATGTAATTAATATATTGAAAATTAGAATAATTAATTTTTGTAAAAAACATATTTTTTATTTGATATTTTTAAAGAGTGTCCTCAGTTAGGGGTGTTCAAAATCAAACCGGTCTAATAGAAAATTGTAAAGTCGAACCAAACCAAATTGAAACCGTAAAAAATTACATTTGGTTCGGATGTGTTTGAATTATTTTCTAACAGAACCGCATGGTGCGGTTCAGTTTACAGTTTACAAACCAAACCAAACCAAACAAAACCGCATTATATTATAAAATCTTACTAACCAATATATATATATATATATATATATATATATATATATATATATATATATATATATATATATATATATATATATATATATATATATATATATATATATATATATATATATATATATATATATATATATATATATATATATATATTAATTCTTTAGAGAAATCAACATGTGTATATTTTATCATATTTTGTATGATATTTATTTTAATTTATAAATCATAAAAAAATAAAATATAATTCATTTATAAATACTATTTTCACAAAATATATTTTATCGTATTCTTTATATAATATTTATTTAAGAATGTAATCTTGTCTATATCATTATTTAAATTTAGATAAAATTATAATATGCAATTTTATATATCACATTATAAATTTATTTTGACAATTATAATTTTTTTTATAGTAATTTATGAATAATTAAACACAAAATTATATTTTCCTTTAATAATTTTAAAAAAAAAAAAATCGAATCAACCGAAACAATCCAAACCGCATTTGTTTAGTTTAGTTTGAATTTATTTTTAAAAGCCAACCGAAAACACCCAAATTATTTTTAAAATCGCATATTTTTTTCTTCTTATTTTACTTCAAAAACACCCAAATTATACCGCAAACACCCCTATCCTTAATGCACTTGTTAGCATGTTAGCATGACCTTTTATTTAATTCTATTATAGTATTTAGCACGTGCCTTGTAGCACAAGTTAACGTTACCCAATATATAGGGTTTTTGTCTCGGTAAAACCCTTAAGGAAGAATACAGTGCCAGTAGCACATACAAACCATGAAGCAACTGCAACTTCATTCTCCGACACTCTCACGCGCGCTATCACGTGCTCTAAGCTACTCATCCACCGCCATTACCACACCTCAATGCCTATGGTCGTGTCCCTTTAAGAATGTTATCGTTGGAAACTTCGAGCCGTCGTTAGCGGTGCTACGGCAGCATGTCCGGTCGTCAGACTTCGTGGCCATCGACCTAGAGATGACCGGAGTAGCTAGTGCTCCCTGGCGTGAGCCTTCCCGTTCGACCTCTCCGACATCAGCTATCTCAGGGTCCAA